AGGACATTTCATATTAGTCACAGGAAAAATCCATCAAGACGAAATTTCAATGCTGAACATCTATGCTCCAAATACAAGGGCAGCCTCATATGTCAAAGAAATACGTCTAAAGCTTAATCACACATTAAACCTCACACTAATAGTGGAAGACTTCAACACTCCACTCTCACCACTGGACAGATCTGTCAGACAGAAAATTAACATTTGAAAACTCCTCTACAACAAAAAGAAGCAAACTCACCCAGGAGGACTAGAGAGCAGGAAATAATCAAATTGAGAGCTGAAATCAACAAAATATAAACAAAGAAAACAATATAAAGAATCAATGAGCCAAAAATTTGGTTCTTCGAGAAAATAAAAAAAAAATCAACAAAATAGACAAACCTTTATCCAAACTAACTAAAGGGTAGAGAGAGAATATCCAAATTAACAAAATCAGAAACCAATAGGGGGACATAACAACAGACATGGAGGAAATCCAGAGAATCATTAGGTCCTATTTAGAAAACCTGTACTCCACAAAATTGGAAAACCTAAAGGAAAATGGACAATTTTTCTGAATAAATATCACTTACCAAAATTAAATCAAGACCAGATAAGCAAATTAAATAGTTATAACTGCTAAAGAAATAGAAACAGTCATCAAAAGTCTCCCAACCAAAAAAAGCCCAGGGCCAGATGGTTTCAGCTCAGAATTCTACAAGATTTTCAAAGAAGAATTAATACCAATACTCCTCAAATTGTTCCACACATTAGAAACAGAAAGAACATTGCCAAATTCTTTTTATGAGGCTACAATTACCCTGATACCCAAACCACACAAAGACATTACTAAGAAAGAAAATTACAGACCAATCTCACTCATGAACATTGATGTAAAAATACTCAATAAAATACTGGCAAATTAAATCCAAGAATACATCAGAAAAAACATCCACCATAATCAAGTCAGTTTCATCCCAGAGATGCAGGGATGGTTCAACATACGAAAATCTGTCAATGTAATCCACCATATAAACAAACTTAAAAGAAAAAACCCACATGATCATCTCATTAGATACTGAAAAAGCATTCAACAAAATACAACATCCCTTTATGATAAAGGTCTTAGAGAGAGCAGGGATACAAGAAACATACCTAAACATAATAAAGGCAATATACACCAAGCCAACAGTCAATATCAAACAAAATGGATAGAAACTCAAAGTGATCCTTTTGAAATCAGGAACAAGGCAGGTTGTCCATTCTCTCCATATCTATTCAATATAGTTCTGGAGGTTCTGGATAGAGCAATAAGACAACAAAAATTGGAAAAAAAAAAAAGTCGAACTCACTATTTGCTGATGATATGATAGCTTATATAAGCAACCCCAAAAATTCTACCAAGGAACTTCTACAACTCATAAACACCTTCAGTAATGTAGCAGGATACAAGATTAGTTAAAAAAAAAAAATCAGTAGCCCACCTTTACACAGATAATAAATGGGCTGAGAAAGAAATCAGAGAAACATCACCTTTCACAATAGCCACAAGTAGCATAAAATATCTCAGAGTAACTCTAACCAAACAAGTGGAAGACCTATATGCAAGAACTTTAAATCTTTGAAGAAAGAAACTGAAGAAGACACTAGAATATGGAAAGATCTCCCACGCACTTGGGTAGGTAGAATTAACATAGTAAAAATGGCAATCTTACCAAAAGCAATCTACAAATTTAATGCAATGCCCATCAAAAACCCAGCAAAATTCTTCACAGACTTCAAAAGAATAATACGCAATTTCATATGGAAAAGCAAAAAACCCAGGATAGTCAAAACCATCCTGTACAATAAAGGAACTTCTGGAGGCATCACAATCCCTGACTTCAAACTCTACTACCAAGCTACAACACTGAAAACAGCCTGGTATTGGCATAAAAATAGAAAGGAGGACCAATGAAACCAAATCAAAGGCCCAGATATCAATCCACACACCTATGATCACCTGACTTTCAACAAAAAAGCAAAAAATATAAAATGGAATAAAGCACATTCAACAAATGGTGCTGGCATTATTGGATATCAACATATATAAGAATGAAAAAAAATCTATCACCATGCACAAAACTCAAGTCCAAATGGATCAAAGACCTCAACATAAAGCCAACCAAACTGAATCTCGTAGAAGAGAAAGCTGGAAGTACACTGGAACGCATTGGCACAGGAGACCACTTCCTAAATATAACCCCAGTAGCACAGACACTGAGAGAAACAATAAATAGAACCTCCTGAAACTGAGAAGCTTCTATAAAGCAAAGGACGTGGTCAATAAGACAAAATGGCAGCCTATAGAATGGGTAAAGATCTTTACCAACCCCACATCAGACAGAGGGCTGATCTCCAAAATATACAAAGAACTCAAGAAACTGGTCATCAAAAGAAAAAAATAATCCAGTAAAAAAAAAAAAAATGGGTACAAACCTAAACAGAGAATTCTCAATAGAGGAATCTAAAATGGCCGAAAGACACTTAAGGAAATGCTCAACATTCTTAGCCATCAGAGAAATGCAAATCAAAACAACTCTAAGATTCCATCTTACACCTGTAAGAATGGCCAAGATCAAAAACATTGATGGCAACTTACGCTGGAGAGGATGTGGAGTAAAGGGAACACTCCTGCATTGCTGGTGGGAGTGCAAACTGGTATAGCTGCTTAGGATATCAGTATGGCTATTTCTCAGAAAATTAGGAAATAACCTATGTCAAGATCCAGCAATACCACTTTTGGGTATATATCCAAAGGATGCTCAACCGTGCCACAAGGACATGTGCTCAACTATGTTGATAGCAGCATTGTTTGTCATAGTGAGAACCTGGAAACAACCTAAATGCCCCTTGACCGAAGAATGGATAAGGAAAATGTGGTACATTTACACAATGGAGTACAACACAGCAGAAAAAAAATAATGATGTCGTCGGCAGTGGTGGCACACGCCTTTAATCCCAGCAGAGGCAGGCGGGTCTCTGTGAGTTCAAGGCCAGCCTGGAAGATCCAGATAGGCTCTAAAAAAAGCAAAACAAAACAAAAAATGACATCTTGAAACTTGTGGGCAAATGGATGGATCTAGAAAACATCATATTGAGTTACCTCACCCAGACCCAGAAAGACAATATCGTATGTACTCACTCATAAGTGGCTTTTAGACATAAAGCAAAGAAAAACCAGCTTACAATTCACAATCCCAGAAAACCCAGACAACAATGAGGATCCTAAGAGACACATACATGGATCTAATCTATTATGGGAAGTAGAAAAAGACAAGATCTCCTGAGTAAATTGTGAGCATGGGGAACATGGGAGAGGGTAGAAGGGGAAGAGAGAGGAAAAGAGGGGAGCTGAAAAAAAAATGTATAGCTTAATGAAAACAATAAAAACAATTAAATAAATTTAACTGATTGACTGGTTGGTGGGTTGATTGATTGAGACAGGGTTTCTCTGTCTAGCTTTGGTGCCTGTCCTGGAACTCGCTCTATTGACCAGGCTGGCCTCCAACTCACAGAAATCTGCCTGCCTCTGCCTCCCAAGTGCTGGGATTAAAGGCACGTGCAATCACCACCAGGCAAGATTTAAATTTTATAGCCACTATCAATATGGAAGTTCTAAGAAAGACAGACAGCCGGGCGATGGTGGCGCACGCCTTTAATCCCAGCACTCGGGAGGCAGAGGTAGGCGGATCTCTGTAAATTCGAGACCAGCCTGGTCTACAGAGCTAGTTCCAGGACAGGCTCCAAAGCCACAGAGAAACCCTGTCTCGAAAAACCAAAAAAAAAAAAAAAAAGAAAGACAGAAAGATGAAAGGAAAGATGGGAGGAAGGGCAAAGAGAGAGAGAGGTGGGGATAGGAGGGAGGGAGGGAGGGAGGGAGGGAGAGAGCAAGAGCAAAAGAGAGTGAGAGAGAGAACAGAATTACCATACAATCCAGCTACATTATATCTATGCACTCAAAGAAATGTCAACAGACCACAGAGATACTTGTAAATCCATGTTTAAAGCCACACTATTCATAATAACCAAGAAATGGAATCAGCCTAGATTTTAATCAATGAGTAGACAAACCAGGTATGTACACGCAATGGAATTTTGTACAGCTATAAAGAAAAATGAAATCATGACATTTGCAAAAAATATGGGTGCAAGGTCTCTGTTAAAATAAGCAGAATCAGAAAAACAAAGACTATATACTATGTTCTCTCATAAGCAAAACACTGCATATAAATCTAATATGTAATAAATACATGTTAATGTATATATGTATATTTGTAGAACATGAAACTAGTAAGGAGATCATGAGAAACAGAGAGAGTAATAGACTAACCAGAAGAAAGGGTATAGCTGGGCAGGGGAGGGTACACAGAGAAGACAGTGAGAGAGGCAAGTGAATCAGAACAATTACACAAATATGAGGAGATGACATAAAACCTATTATCTGTGTATTAATCTGAAAGGAAAAAGTAACATAAACAGAGAGAACTAAAGGAGAAAGAAGACAGGAAGACAAGCCTTAAAGAAATTGTCTAGGAAGCTAGGATTACAGAACAGCAAGAAATAAACCAGGAAAAAATTATATCAAGATGACTAGAGTAGGTAAGAAAACCTTTATGATCTCTTCCAGGCTTAACACTTTAGGCTTCTAAGAGATGCATATTTGCACTGTGCAGTGGTAACGTTTGCCTTTAATTCCAAGAGAGGCAGGCGGATCTCTGAGTTCCAGGCCAACCTGGTCTATGCAGAGTTCTAAGACAGTCAGAATTGTTACACAGGGAAATCCTGTCTTGAAAAACAAAAAACAAATGAAAAAGGGCAGGAAGGGGGTGCCTATTTGAGAACTTAGTATTTCCAGTCCTGACACATAAAGATAAAGCTCCCTGGTAAGTTGTCCATGTTAGTCTCTTTCAAGGGGTTAATCCTTATGCTTATACCATATGAAGAGACCTGAAACCCACAGGAAAATACAACCTCACCTTTGTGAGACAGGCACACAATTTCCTTCTTCAGAACTCTTCAGAACTTCTTCTGAAGTTTCTTCAACAAATAGACCTTGGGAAGACTGTAAAGAAACAGGAAACATCCTAAATACATAGATGAACTTAGTTCTTCCTTGTTATTATCTATTTTGTGCATGTTTATATGTGCATATGGGAGACAGAGGTCAACCCTGGGTGTCATTCCTCAGCAGCTATCCACCTTGGGTTACTGTGTTCACCTTTGCTGCATTTTGTTTGTCACAGAGTCTCACTATATGTAGACCAGGCTAGCCTCCAGCTCAGAGATTCTTTTCTGGGACTAAAGGCACACACTACCACACTAGGCCATATGCATGTTGGGGTTTTTTTGTTTGTTTTTTGCTATCTTTGTTTTATTTTACATTTGTTTATCTTTGGGGAAGGACTGCACATGTCACTGGTACACATGAGGAGGTCAGAGGGCAAGTTGCAAGAGTCAGTTTTCACTTTCTGCCATCTGCATTCTGGGAATCAAATTTAGGTCATGAGATCCCTCTTTCTTGGTGGTAACAAGCACCTTGTTTCTGAAGACAGCCTCTCTCATCAGCCTGAAGCACCCCAAGTAGACTAGGCTAAGTTGACTTGTCAGTCCCAGGTCTCCATTCACCTGTCTACAACTCTCTAGTGTTAAACTTAAAACTGAGTGTCAGCCACCATACCCAGCCTTTTTTTTTCCTCCCATGAGTTCTGGGGATGGAATTCAAATCCTCAGGTTTATATGGCAATCAGTTCCAATTGAGTGTTCTCCTCAGTCCTAATTTCCTCCTTTAAAAGAAAAATTTAATTATTTGAAATTATCATTTAACAGTTAGTAGTAAGAATAAAATATGCTGGGTATGGTGGCATATGCCTGTAATACCAAAACTTGGGAGGCAGAGGCAGACATATCTCTGTGAGTTTGAGGCCAGGCTGATCTACGAGTGAATTCCAGGACAGCCAAGGCTACACAGTGAAACCCTGCCTCAGAAACCAAAACAAAACAAAGACCAGGTATGGTGGTTCCAGCCTTTTATCCTAGCACTTGGGAGGTAAAGGCAGGCAATATATGAGAGCTCAAGGCCATCCTGATCTACTATCAAGTTCCTAGACAGCCAGAGCTATGCAGAGACCCTGTCTAAAAAGCAAAACAAAATAATATGCCAGACAATAGAGCCACACACCTTAAATGCCAACACTTGGGAGGCAGAGGCAGGCAGATCACTGTGAGTTCAAAGTTAACCTGGTCTATTTAATGAGTTCCATGAAGAAAGCAACTAATGCTACCTTAAATGGGATTCCTGAGAACGTATCTTGGCTATGACACTTCTTCCAGGAAAATCTTCTTTAACTACTTGATCGAAGTTTTCAGGGTTTCTTAACATTTTATCAATACCCCCCAAAAGTTAGGCATCCCTGTATGATTTCAATAAACGATAAAATTTAAAAGGAGAGGACGAAGTGAACAGGGGAGAAAGGAAGAAAACTGAATCTATAATCAAAAAGAAGTAAAGTTTACAATGACTGGAAATGTGGTTACGACACATCAAGGTTGAACAATAAACACTACAGCACCAATGGGTCAGCAAGATGGTTCAGTGGAAAAGGGCGCTTGCTACCAAGTCTGACAACCTGAGTCTGATCCCTGGGACTCATACAGCAAAGGAGAGGATTGACTTCACACAAGTTATTCTCTGACCTACACACGTGCGCGCGCGCACACACACACACACAAGTCAAATATAACTTTCTGAAAACCTTATCGTTAAAATACAGCAACAATAAAAAATGTACCAACTCTTTGAATTAAGCAATGAATTTTTTCCTCTGAGGAAGGAAGGAAGGAAGGAAGGAAGGAAGGAAGGAAGGAGAGAGAAACACTGACACCTAGTGTCCACATAACAGAATTTGTTGATTTAGGGAACTAAAGAGATAGTTCAAAAGTTAAGAGCATGTACTGCTAAAGAAACAGAGTCCAATTCCCAGACCCTCAGTGAAGCAACTAACAAAAGAACTGATGCCCACAAGTTGTTCTCTGACCTCCAATCATGTGTTTGGGGCACACCCAAAATAAATAAATACATAAATGTTTCTGAAGTGTGTTGATTTTTTTCTAAGTGAAAAATAAGACAAAGTCAACCTCTGGCCTCCAATCTCTACACACACACAGACACACACACAACCAGAAAGGACTGTTAAAGAAGTATGGTCCCTATGGGCAGCCCTAAGTGTTGCACTAAGCAATTTAATTAAATTCAGTTTAATCATTACAACTCCATAAAGATGGGACTGAAGAGATGGCTCAACAATTAAGAACACTTACTGCTCTTGCAGAGGACTCAGATTTACTTCTCAGCACCAACATGACAACTCATAACCGTCCTTAAGTTCCTTCTGAATATTTTAAAAGCATCATATAACTACAAACTCATTATCAGTAATTTTTAGAGTACTATTTTATGATTAAAATATTTTCTATTTTAATCATATCTCTGTGATTAGACTTTGAATTTTTGAGTTTCTCTTGCTACAACATTTGTTTAGTTTTCCTTATGATAAACATTTATGAAGTGATAGCTCTTACAAGCATTCCTAATAGTATAATTTTGATATTTTAGTAATTTCATGTCTTTTAGCAAGTCTTAATTTTTACATCTATAAAATGGGAATAACAATTCCTATCTTTAAATAGTTTTAAAGGGAGACAAACAAGACACAAGTTTTTATACATAACACTATCTCGCCATATGTGAAATAGACTAAGACAGCCGGGTGGTGGTGGTGCACGCCTTTAATTCCAGCACTTGGGAGGCAGAGGCAGGTAAATCTCTTTAAGTTCGAGACCAGCCTGGTCTATAAGAACTAGTTCTAGTACAGGCTCCAAAGCTACAGAGAAACACTGTCTCAAAAAACAAACAAACAATAACAACAAAAACAAACAAACAAAAAACCCTAGGTTAAGACAACAACTTAAATGTCCCAAATGGAGATTGGTGTCATTAGAGAAAGTCACTAGAAGCAAAATTAGAAATATACCATGATGAGAATGAGAATAAACTGGGAAACTGTCTCAATTTATGTCAAAGACTATTTCCCCTAGGATTGACACGGTAGAGAAATAAAACTGACCACTGCAAGTTGTCTTCTGACCTTGTACATGCTACGGCATTTCACACACACACACACACTAAATTAGTAAATAAACTATAAAACTATAATTGTTTAGTACTGTTTTTCGAGACATGACTTCTCTGTGTAACCACCCTGGCCTAGAACTAGCTCTGTAGACCAGGCACAGAGATCAATATGCCTCTGCCTTCCAAGTGCTGGGATTGAAGGCATGTACCACTACACCTGGCAATAAACTGTAATTTTTTTAAACATTACATAGATATTTTCCCATCTCTTTTATCAGGAAACGTCAATTAGTCTGAATACCATATCGATGCCAATTTGAGGGCTAGTACGCATGCACCTCTATGGGGAAGGCAAATGTATATAGCATCTATAGATGACAATTTGGTAATGGTTAACAAAACTACGAATGTAAGCATCCTTTGTTCCACCACTGTATAATAAATACATAATATAATAAATTATCCTATCCCCTGTAGATGAAATTTCCTGTTCAAAGCAAATGTTAGAGACAACCTACATGCCCACCAGCCGGCTACTGAATAATATATGTTTTATCTAAATACAGTATATCCCATATCTCCAAATAAAGGGGAATAAATTGAATATTGTTATGGAATGATGGCAGAATTGTCAAATAAAAAAGGGCAGAATGTGTAAACTACCATTTGTATAAATAAAAGGCAGGGAGCTAAGTTGTCAGTGCTTGTCTAGTATGCATGAAGTCCAATGTGTTTTGTACATTTAGAAGTGATGATGATTTCCTCTTAGTGGCTGGACTGCAAGTAATTATTATAATTTTTTTCTTTTTTGAGACAAGGTTTTACAATGTAGCCTAGGCTGGCCAGGTTACCTAAGTCTAAGTGATGGGATTATAGGTGTGTAGCGCCACACCCAGGTTCTTTTCTTGTTTTGCACTTTTCTCATTTTATATGGTAAGCATGTATTGTTTTAATAAGCAGATAGAGGGGAAAAGATTATAAAAAATGGTTAAAATAATCCTAACTTTATCTGCAAATAAATAATCCTTATAGCATCACTGACCCTTACCTGACCATGACTGGTTGTTGGTTCTTCCTCCAACAAAAGTTCCTGTTTCAAGCTTTTAATTGAACTTTTTTGAAAATCCTTGGTTTCTGAGTTCCAGACAGATGCCCTAGATTCCTGCCTTTCCTCTTTGGCTTCATCTCCCATATCTTCTGAGATGCCTTCATTTTTTTCACTAGTCTCATCTTCTTGGCCACATTCATTCTGGATCAGAAAAGGAGGTCTAGGTAACACTGGTTCCCCAAACCCTCTTTTTTTAAAAAGCTGCCTCTGAGCCATTTTCAGGCTCTTCTGATAAACCTCCAACTGGCAGAGAATGACACTGGTATATTCGTTAGGATCTACTCCAGCAGGGCAGAATGGAATACCCCAGTAGTAGTGCACAGTGCCCCCATTGTCCTGGAGACCTTTGGAGTCTGTTGGGGTAGGAAGACATTGCCTAGATGTGTCCCCCTTACCCTGGACAGCTTTGAGAAAAGCGTAACCACTCCCAGTACTTTCCTGTGGCTTCCCACACTTTGTGTGCTCAGCCAAGTGGCCAGTACATCTGTCAAAACTTTTAATGCTCTCATTCTCAAACACTGGCTGGCTTGACTGGTCCCAGCTTCCTGAGCTGCCAGAGACCGGCTCCTCTTCAGTGTTTTCATTGTGGTCCCAGGGCTCTTTTCTTTCCTCAGCCTCGTTTCCCTGACTGATATGTGAGTCTTTAAACAGTGATGGAGGTACCAGCTGCGATATGCCTGTAAGTATTTGAGAAAAAGTAGGGCTAAGGACAAAAATTTTTATTTTCAATTAAGACAACTTGGTAAGCAATCACTTACCAAAAATTACAAAATGAAGTTACAAAAAGCCCTTCTTTTACTTTAGCCAAAGGGTGGTTTTTTTCTTGAAGATAAAAGTATGCTGGATATTAAAGAAATTTCAACTATTTGCTTTTGAACCTCTTTTATATCACAACAAGGATTTGAGGCATCTCTGTCACCACTCTCAGCAGAAGATCCCTGTGGTATAGTTATACTTGATGAGTGGAAGGAGTCAGAACAGGAAGACATGCCTTCAGTGGTTCCAGAATCTTTGGTGTTCTCTTGATGGGAATGTGAAGATGATCCAATAGCCAAAGGTTGAGAACTGGTAGCAGAAGCATCAGAAGACCAGCAACTCTGAAACAAATGATCCCATACCAAACCAGGTTCATTATTAAAATAGCTGTATACGAAGAGTCATAGGAAGAATAAAAATGGCAGGCACTGTCCCTAGAAGTTTCTCTTCTTCAAAATATAGCTCCTCAATTAAAACATTCCCCAACAAGAAGTCAATGTCAATATATATTTACTATATGGTTTCTAATATAAAGGGTATATAGTATAAATGATTCAAACTGGACATATATATTCACACGGTGATACATGTCTGTAGTCCTAAGCTTTTCAGAAGGCTGAAGTGGGGGAATGCTTGAAACTTACAAGTTCAAAGTCAGCTCTTTCAACTCTAGGAAATTCCAGCTCAAACAAACGAGCTAAAAAATAAATAGAATCAAGGATGGCTCAGAATCTGCTACTGGCAAGTATCCTTAACATTTAAAATAATTTCTATTGCATGTATTCAAATAGTAATTTAATATTATTTGGTTTTTTATGTGCATTAGTTTGTCATGTTTGCCGTGGGAAATTTCAGGTCTCCTGAAACTGAAGTTACAGCTGTGAGCCCTCATGTGGGTGCTGGGAGTTGAACCCAGATCCTCTAGAAGAGTAGTCAGTGCTCTTAACTGCTGAGCCACTTCTCCAGCCCCTTATTTGGTTATTTTTAAAACTGTCCACTCTTTCTCTCATTTTCTTTGCTGGCCCCACAAATGAGGGGAGGTAAGCACCTGGCCTTTGGAATTCTTGGTATTCTATAACTCTTCAGAAGCTGCCCACTTACTATGATTCTTTTAAGCCACTGACTGAAAAATCTGTGGAGTGGAAGCAAACTCATACAGTAACAAAAACACTTCCAACTGGATTAACCAGAAATTCAACAACACGAATTTTAAAAATAAAAGTACTGAGATATATTAGTTGAAAAACCTATAAACTACCATAGCTCATTTCCAATATAACTATACCAACCACCAAGTAACTAAGAACATTATTAATAAAACCCACAAACTCAACACAGTATATATTTACATTCAGGCTTTCAGCAATGGCTTTCCTCAAGAGCTCCTCTTCTTTCTCCTCCTGGCTATTCACCTCCCTAGCTTCCTGCTCACTCATTCTGAGAGCCAAAGCAAATTGTTCTTCTTCTGACATCTCTGTAAGAGTGTAGGGAAAAGAAGAATACCAGGAAACAAATTAGCACAATGGCAAAAAACAAACAAAAAAAAAACCAAAAACAGAATCATTAAACTGTCAACTGACAATACTCTAAATTATTTAGGATGATTTGTAATCTAGTAAGGAAAGTCAACCAAGGTATGGTGTGGTCAAGATTATTGGCAGCATTACAAGAACCCTACGTTAACCAGAGTATAAGCCCTCATAAAGGCATAGTGTTTGCCTATACAGTTCATTAGTGTATCTCTAGCACATAAGAGAACATGGAAATTGGTAACTGCTGAATTAAACCACTATAGAGCTTTTTGCTAAATACCACACTGCTTTATGCTCATTATTTAACCAGAGGAATTTTACTCTTCAGAATCTTTGCATTTTTAGTTTTCCCAGACAGGGTCTGATGTAGTCCTGCTGGCCTTGAGGATAACCCTCTAGTTACACTAGGATCATACACACACACCACTTACTTCATATAGTGATGGGGATTCAACCAGAACTTCATGCACACTAAGCAAACATTCTCATCAACCGAACCACATATATCCCCAGCTCTCAGAATCTCTAATTTATTCATTTTAACAAATCCGTAGTTATCAAATTCTGATCATCAAACATTATTTCCTACTAACAGCAATTGTAGTACACTAGTGAAATGACTGATTCCAAGTTTATAAAATGTAGTACACTAGCGAAAACGCTGATTCCAAGTCATGAAATGTACAAATGAGCTAGAATACTTCTTATAACAGCAAAGAATCTACCCACCACTCCTAGGATTGGATCAAAAGAAATCAAACCTGGGGGGGGGGGAACTACTGGCATAAAATTGAACTAGAATCCACTACAATATCTTTATAAATTAAAACACAGCAAATGCATTTCCAGACCCTCATTCAATGCCTTCAACAGAAGGAAATGATACATGCTAGATGAGTTATATTTTCAGTAGTGTAGCCAGCCCATACTCCAAAGACTAGCTCTACACTCATCTTCATGAGGATCGCCCTAGTTAATAAACCAGTAGGTCGCTGTGATGGTTGTCAACTTGACTATATCTAAAAACCCAAGCAGCTAGGCCTATCTGTGAGGGATTTTTAGTTAACGGGAATCATTTGAGGTAGGAAGACCTACCGTAAATCCAGATCATTTGAGGTCAAAAGATCGTCCCTAAATCTGGCCACACCTCTCATAGCAGCCTGTATTAAGGACATGGAGGAAAGCAGCTTTTGCTTTCTGCCTGCTTGCCCTCATTCTCTCGGGCAAGTTCATCTACCCTGTTGCTGGGGCATTCCTTCACTGGCATTAGAGCCTACTTCTAGAGTATACTGGAGACCAGCTGAAACACCCAGCCCCATGGGCTGAACAACTACTAGACTCTTGGACTTTCCATTGGGAGACGGTCATTGTTGAATTAATTAGCTGGATCACAGCCTGCAAGACACTCTAATAAATCTAATACACACAAACACACACACTCATTCTTTCAGTTCTGTTCCTCTGGAGAACCCTGACTAATATAGTCACAAAACAAAAAAAAACAAAACAAAAAGACAAGAAAGTGGGAGAGGGATTTGTAGGGAGGGAGCAGGACTGATGAAAGTCAGAGATAAGAGAAGTAGGAATGAATACGATCAGAATGCATTATATACATGTGTGAAATTATAAAAAAAATAAATTCAATTTTAAAATGCTGCAAAAAAATTTTAAGCTTCAAAGATGATCTTGACATGTTAGATTGATGGTCTACACATCCCCACATAGGTGCACAAGAGCAGGGCAGACAGTCAAAAATATACACACAGGTGCCCCCACTGATACATATGTTTCAAATCAGTTTTAGATCGCCTCCTTTTAAACCTAAGCAATCAAAAGACAATCTACCATGTAACAAAGAAAAAACCTTTAATACTTCTAAAATAAGTTTAATATCTGAAGTAAAATATGAAAAAGTAATAACAAAAATACTAATAATTATTAATATCCTTAGAAAAAAAGATATTGGACACTGGATCTCTGAACACACCCAGGATGCCATAAATAAACAAAGAACATTAGAGAATGAATAAGAAACTCTGAGATGAAAGAAAATGAAGATACACATTTTCAAAACTTAAGAGGTAAAGCTAAAGGAATTTTTACAGCAAAATTTGTAGGTGTATGATGCTTGTATGAAAAAAGACAGAAGATGTAGTTCAGCTGGGAGAGTACTTACTTAAAATTAAGCCTTGAATTCAATTCCAAGCAATGATGAGATTTTTGCATCTATATTCCAAAGAAATAACAGTCCTTAATTTTCTTGTACTATCTCCCCATGGACATGGTATTAGACTTAAGGAGTAAGTAAGGCAGTAGTCTCTCATTATCTAATATCTGTAGGAGTTTATGAAGAACTGCTGCTAATATTTCTTTATTCTTGACTAAAATTCAACCATGAAGGCATCAAACCAATCTTTTTTGCTTATAGCTATTGTTTTTTAATTCAATTTTTTATTATATTAGTTCTATTTTTATTTTCTGCTTCTTGAGTAAGTTCTGGTGTGGGTATTCCTAAGAATTTATCTACAAAGTTCAAGTTATTTATTTTCTTGGCATACACTTTTTCACACTATTTCCTTATCTATAACTTAGTTCTCTTTTCTAATCTTAATTTTACCTTCAATTTATTTTATATGGTTGTGCTGGTTGGTTCTTTTGTCAACTTGACACAAGTAAGAATCATCTGGAAAAGAGAACCTCAACCGAGAAAAGGCCTCCATCAAATTGTCTTATAAACAAGTCTATTGGGGCAGTTCCTTGATTAATGATTGATGTGAGAGGGCCTGGCCCACTGTAAGTGGCACTACTTCTAGGCAGGCATCCAGAGCTGGGTAAAACAGCAAGATGAGCAAGCCATGGAAAGACAGTAAGCAGCATTCTTCCAGTGCCTGCCCTGACTTCCCTCAATGATGGACTATGATATGGAAGTATAAGTCAAATAAACCCTTTTTCTCTCCAAGTTATTTTTTGATCATGGTGTTTTTCATAACAAAAGAAACCTAAATAGGACAATGGCATAAAATATAACGAGCATATACAATGGCAGGGATTATATTCCAAATATAATATTGAAAAACTGTAACTTGAAAACAGAAATAACTTCAGTTTAATCATTTATCACTCCTTAGAGTTAAAATCTGACGTCTCTTTCTTATGTCCAGAGATATAAGAGATTTTAGGTTATAAGTCTTATATAGCAACACACAGCAAAGAATTCTTCTTTGAATCCTTTAATCAGGATCAGTAACAGTTTTACTTAGTTTCTTAACAAAAATGAGCAGCTCACAAACGTAAGTACTTCCAAGTGCATTCACACATAATGGTTTTATATTTCAGATAATAGTTCCCAAGGTGTTTGTAGAATGCTGGGTTTCTGGTGCTATCTTATTTGGCTGTCAGTGCAGTGTTCCCTTTCTCTCCATGGCTCAATGATTAGGAGTACTTTGCTGCTCTTGCAAAGCACCTGGATCAGTCCCAACCTCACACAGTAGCTCAGATCATCTGTATCTCCAGTTCCAGGAGATCCAACCTCCTCTTCTGGTACCAGGCACATACAAGCAAGCACTCACACACATAAAAGAAAATCTTTAAGTGTTGGGTAGAGAATCAAGGGTCTAGTTACAGTGCCTAGTCATGAAGATCACACTTAAAATTTCAACAGTCTTCCTCTAGCAAGTCAAATGTGTAAGCAGAAAGTAATTCCCTAAGAAACTTGAAAAAGTAAAAGAAAAAATAAAGAAAAAGAAAAAAAGAAAATTTTTTACTAATGAAACGCTATCAATTCAACTAAAATGAAAACATACGTGCAATTTTTCTTTTAGCCAAACATTTTGATCTGTTCGACTGTTTTGTCTTCATTTTCTGCAATCCATTCTCCTCTTTTGCTTCCTATGTAAACAAGAGATATGATCAGAGTAAATGACATTTAAAATAGTAATTTCTCCATTTCTTCCATATTTCTTTTGATTAGTGGAAGCCGTTGAATTATCAGTGACTCTTAAAATGGTACACATAAGGAAATCCTTTTTTTTAATTTAAAAAAGAGAGCATGCAAGAGCTAGAACCAATCAAACCATAAAAATGAAATTGTGTAATATGCTGATGTGATTACCTACCATATATATAGAATCACATAAAAGCTGCCCAAGACATCTACCCAAGATCAGAGACTCTTGATTCAATAATTGTCTGAATTCAGTATATATTTATTTACTGTAAATCATTCTTTGACCACTGGTTGATGAAAAGAAATAAAGTAAAGGTACAAAAATCAATAGAAAACCAAATATACCCACCCCATTCAACATCAAAACTTAGAAAGTAGCACTTGAGAGACAGAGCAGGTAATATGAGTTTGAGGCCAGTCTGGTCTATACAGTGAGTTCCAGGAAAGCCAGAACCATGTAGCGACCCTGTCTTAAAACAACAATAACAACAAAACTTAGTAAGTAACACCAAATAAGATAACAAAAAAAGAAATAAAAAAAGCAATTAAAAAAAAGCCTAGGAGAAAGCAGATGAAAGAGAATAGAGACAAAGATGATACATGTTTGAGGATCCTGAAGACAGAAACAAAATATTCAATGTAGCCCAAGAAAACTTTCAGGTGGGGAGATGGATGAATCAAAAAAGTGTCTATCATTCTCTAAGAATCAATTTCCCAGAGAAATTGATAAGCAAATACTAAGCAAATAAAAGAAAAATTCCTAAAACATTCAGATGAGAGACACAATAACTGACCCTCAAAAGGAAAGTTAGTAGATATCCCAAAAATCAGCTTACAAAAGCAAAAATATAAACAAACAAACAAAGCCTAAAGGCAATAAACTAAAGAATTACAGACAGTGCTAGAGAGATGGCTCAGTGATTAAGAACACTGGCTGCTCTTTCAGAGGTCCTGAGTTCAATTCCCAGCAACCACACGGTGGCTTACAACCATCTGTAATGAGATCTGGTGCCCTCTTCTGGCCTGCAGGCATACATGCAGGCAGAACACTGAAAATATTATAAATAAAAGAAATCTTTTTTTTTTTTTGGTTTTTCGAGACAGGGTTTCTCTGTGGTTTTGGAACCTGTCCTGGAACTAGCTCTTGTAGACCAGGCTGGTCTCGAACTCACAGAGATCCGCCTGCCTCTGCCTCCCGAGTGCTGGGATTAAAGGCGTGCGCCACCACCGCCCGGCTCAATAAAAGAAATCTTTAAAAAAATAAAAACAAGGCAAAAATGTTTAAACAAAGAATTCTGTATCTCATCAAACAAACATCATAAAACATTTAAGAACTCAGGAAATGCTATACTTGTAACACCTTTTTAACAAATCTAGTAAACAAGCAAAAGTGATTTGAGAAAAAAATGGGAGAAAGAAAACAGTAAATATTTAAAATACTTAATTTTAGATCTAAAAATAAAACAAAATTAGAGACAAATACAAAAGGAGCCAGTGAGATGGCTTTCACTTGTCATGAGAGCCTGATGGCCTATGTTAGATCTCTGAAACGCACAGAACAGTGGAAGAGAACTCACTCCACAAAGCTGTCCTCTACCCTACACACATTCTATGTCATAAACACTAATAAATAAATAATATAAAAGTGAGAACGCGAAACACACTTTTTCTGGAAAGAAGTTGTCTACAAAGGCTGATGTACTGATTAAAATTTGGAACGTTTTGGGTCCTAATTACAATTTATCTTGGGCTATCTTTACCCCGTAAAGACCCATTCTTTGCCTACCTATGTGTTGGACCTAACATCCTATGGTTAACAGATAAAATCCTTTTAGAATGTTTTAACAAAAACCCAAGTATTCACCACCCAAAAGTCTAAAAGCCATCATATAGTATTTAAAACCTATAACTGAGATTTTGCTACTTTGATATATAACCACCTACTTAATGTATCTACCAATGTTTTTTTTAAAAACGCTTTGATTCATAACTTTCTTTTTTCTGTTATCATAGAAATGTGATGAAACTGCTACCACACTGGAACACGGAACTTGGGGTAACCTCAATCTGTGTTCTAGGCTATGGTCACACATATCTGGCTTCAGAATAAACTTTCTCTTATCCTTTTTCAGGTGAGAACTGTGTTTTTACATTGAAAAAAGAAAAATACAGCCAGGCAGTGGTGGTGCACGCCTTTAATCCCAGCACTTAGGAGGCAGAGGCACGCAGATCTCTGTGAGTTCAAAGCCAGACTGGTCTACAAAGTGAGTTCCAGGACAGCCAAGGTTGCTACCCAAAGAAACCCTGTCTTGGAGAGAAAAAAGCAGAAAAGTATATTAATATTCTACTTTCTAATAATGAAGGAAATTATGCTATTAAATAAAAAAGCATAAAATAAAATAAATCCATCAACTACCACATAGATTGAAAGTAAAAGTCAAAATACTGATCAAAATTGAAAAACCAGACAATGCCCAAAGTAAGACAATAAACAAAATTATGAAAAGCACACTATAAAAGTAATTGTTAACATAACATATCAAACAAATTCTATCAGTATTCTCAAGCCTGATCTACACAGTAAGTTCCAGGCCAGCCAGGTCTACAAAGTGAAAGACCCTATCTCAAAACAACTAGCAACACATTAAAAGACTTACATCATAGGCAAATCATACTTAGGAAGCACAAAATTAAGGTCAAAAACTGAGCACAGATGCAAGATTTGGTACTTTAATCAATCATCACGTACAGTGAAAAATCATAAGAGCAAGCGAAACCAGAAGTAGAGATGTGGTTTGAATGTGAAATGTGCTCCCATTGGCTCGTTTGTTTGAATACTTGCTTCCCAGATAGTGGCCTTGTTTGGAAGGATTACAGAACCTTTACAAGTGGGAGTCTCACTGCAAAGAAGTAGGTCACGAGGGGAAGGTCTTGAGGCTTTTCAGTCTGTCCTTCCTGTTCAGTCTGCTTCCTGAGTATAGATGCAATGTAAACAATAGCTTCCTGCTCCTGTTACCCAGCAGCCTCCCCTGCCTGCTGTCATGTCTTCTCTGCCATGACAGGCTATATGACTTTGGAAGTGTAAGACAAATGAAACTCTTTTTCCCTTAAGTTGCTTTTGTCAGGGTATTTTATCATAGCAGTAAAGCAACTGAGACAGGGCCTGGTATTAAGATGTGAGGCCAATGCTATGACAAGCCTGTCTTCCATGTGGTTCTCATGTCTTTGGAACTGGTTAGGGGGTAGAAATATGGAAGTGTTTGGAAATTTGGGAGCCTGTAAGACAAAAATGCTGAGAAGAGCTGGAAAGATGGCTCAGAGGTTAAGAACACTGGCTGATCTTCCAGAGGTCTTGAAATCAATTACCAGCAACCACATGGTGGCTCACAACCATAATGAGATCTGCTGCCCTCTTCTGGTGTGGAGGCATGCATGCAGACAGAACATTTTACAAAATAAATAAATAAATCTTGGGGGGGGGGGGCAGAATGCTGAGAAAAGCATGAACAGCAGGGTACAGCCCATGCATTTTCAGAGGAAAACAATGACTATCAGGAACTGGGAAAGAGGTCATTTATGTTACATTTGACCAGAAATCTATCTTCATTCTGCCTGCATCCTGAGAACCTAAGTAAAGCTGAATTTAAAGATAATAAACCAAGCTGTTTGGCAGTAGGAATTTTTTTTCTTTTTTCTTTTTTTGGATTTTTGAGACAGGGTTTCTCCGTAGCTTTTTGGTTCCTGTCCTGGAACTAGCTCTTGTAGACCAGGCTGGCCTCAAACTCACAGAGATCCGCCTGCCTCTGCCTCCCAAGTACTGGGATTAAAGGCGTGCGCCACTACCACCCAGCTTGGCAGTAGGAATTTTAAGACAGAATTGTACCTAGCACTGAAAACTGAGCTATAGTAGGACACTAGGAAAGGTGTCTTCAGGGAAAAATCCAATGGAGGCTGTCTTGTGAAAATCAAATGCATTTAACAGAAGAAAACCTAAATTAAAGGCATTCCCTGCTCCTCAAAGCAACTACTTAAGAGAAGTTTCAAGGTCAGCACACAAAAGCTAACACAGCTGTACTCCAATGGAGTAAAAATACATCTTGAGGGGGCTGGAGAGATGGCTCAGAGGTTAAGAGCACTGACTGCTCTTCCAGAGGCCCTGAGTTCAATTCCCAGCAACCACATGGTGGCTCACAGCCATCTATAATGAGACCTGGCGCCCCCTTCTGGCTTGCAGGCACACGTGGAAGGAATGCTATACACATAATATAATAAATAAATAAATAAATATTAAAAAAAAATACATCTTGAACTAACACCAGGACTTGGCAATGTCTTCCTTTGGTACTAATTTTGCAATCATGGAAGAGAAAAAATGACAAAGGTCATAGTGTCCTGTATTCCATGTTTTTTGAGAGCGGCTGAGGCCAGGCAATGTGTGACAGGGTCAGAGTCCATATAAGGAGACCCTGAGCCATGTATAAAACTATAAAGGTGAGAGGCCTAGGTTGCAGTGGAAACCCGAGAATACTGGAGGTGCAAGGACCATTGGATGAAGAGAGCTGAAAGCATGGACTGGAGCCAACCCAAGAGAGAATTTATGCTGATGGCAGAACTAAAGCCCAAATTATATCATGACTACGTTATCACCTTTCCATGTTAAAAAGAAGGCATTCCCAGGCCTCTTTTACACCAGAAAACACAACATTTTATTGGTTTCTTGGGTACTTTTTGTTTTGAGTACTTTAGTTCTTGGGTACTTATGAGTTTTGTGGGAGCTATTTTTTTTTTTTTTTTTTTTTTGGTTTTTCAAGACAGGGTTTCTCTGTAGCTTTGGGGCCTGTGCTGGACTAGCTATTGTAGATCAGGCTGACCTCGAACTCACAGAAATCTGCCAGCCTCTGCCTCCCAAGTGCTGGGACTAAAGACATGCGTGCCACCACTGCCCAGCAGGTTACTTGTTTTTTGCATTTAGCTTTGTTTTGTTTTTTGAGACAGGGTCTCTCTGTAGCCCTGGCTGTCCTGGAACTCATGTAGACCAGACTGAAAATGAACTCACAGAGATACATCTGCCTCTGCCTCCCAGTGCTAGGATTAAAGGCTTGCACCACTACATATAGTGGTTTTGTGTTTTATAATGCTGGCAATCAAACCTAGAAGGCCTTTATTCATGCGAGGCAAATGTTTGACCACTGACTTATACCCCAGGTAATACATTTTCTTCAAGGGGGCTGGAGAGATGGCTCAGAGGTTAAGAGCATTGCCTGCTCTTCCAAAGGTCCTGAGTTCAATTCCCAGCAACCACATGGTGGCTCACAACCATCTGTAATGAGGTCTGGTGCCCTCTTCTGGTCTGCAGACATACACACAGACAGAATATTGTATACATAATAAATAAATAAATATTTAAAAAAAAAATACATTTTCTTCAAGAAATATTTAAATACAGCTAAGCACACTAGCTCATACCTTCAACCTAAGCACTTGCTAGGCAAAAGCAGGAAGATCTCTGTTAATTCAAAGCCAGCCTGGTCTACAAAACAAGTTCTAGGATTTGGAGAGATGGCTCAGAGGTTAAGAGCACTGACTGCTCTTCCAGAGGTCCTGAGTTCAATTGCTCACAACTATCTATAATAAGATCTGGTGCCCTCTTCTGGCCTGCAAGCATACATGCATACAGAACACTATACACATAATAAATAAATATTTTTTAAAAAAAAGGTCTAAGCAGGTCAGAGCTACATAATAAGACTGTCTCAAAATATTGAGAGAAAAAAAAGGGGGGTCAAGAAGAATCATTAAAAGTAAATAAAATTTGGCCAGCTGGTGGTGGTCCACACCTTTAATCCAAGCACTCAGCAGATCTCTGAGTTCAAGGCCAGCCTGGTCTATAAGAGCTAGTTTCAGGACACGCTCCAAAGCTACAGAGAAACCCTGTCTCGAAATAAACAAACAAATAAATAATAAAAAAAAAAGTAAAACCTGGAGTCTGAGTTAACTCAGCATACTTAAGCATACTTAAGCAATTAAGAATATTTACTGTAGGCTGGAGAGATGGTTCAGACTGCTCTTTCAGAGGACCCAGGTTCAATTCCCAGCACCCACGTGGCAGTTCACAACTGTCTGTAACTCCAAGATCTGACACCCTCACACAGGCATATACGTAGGCAAAACACCAGTGCAAATAAAATGAAAACAAATTATTTAAAAAAACAAATAAACAAAAAAAAACTGCTCTTACAAAGGATCAAAGATTGGTTCCCAGCGCCCATATCAGGTAGTTCAAATATGCCTGTAACTCCAGTTCCATGGGATCTGACACCATCTGGACTCCACAGGCACCTACATGTATGAGATACACATAAATTCATGCAAGAACACATACATACTGGCAGATCTCTGTGAGTATGAGGCCAGCCTGGTCTACAGAGCGAGTTCCAGAACAGGCTCCAAAAAAGCTGAAGAAACCTTATCTCGGGGAAAAAAACAAAAACAGAAACAAAAAATAAAAATTATTTGAGCCCAGTGGTGGTGGTGGTGGTGTATGCCTTTAATTCCAATACTCAGGAGGTAGAGGTAGGCAGACCTCAGTGAGGCCAGTCTGGTCTCCAAAGCAAGTTTCAGGACAACCAGGGCTACACAGAGAAACTCTATGTCTCAAAACAAAAAAACAAACAAGCATGGCAGTGGTCAGCAAGATGGCTCAGAGGTAAATATGCTTGCTACCAAGCCAGATGATCTGAGTCCAACCCCCAAACCCAGATGGCAGGAGAGAGCCAACTCCAAAAACTTGCTCTCTAGCCTCCACAAGCATGCACCTATACACATTCACAGAAAATAATTAAAATATAACTTTAAAATTTTTTAATATAAGCAAAAGTTCTATGGGACCAAAAAATATCAGGAAACTGACCTAGTACTAGAAGATCCACAATGGAAACCAAAAGAGCTGATTAACACTCAAGTTGAAAAGCATAATAGGCAATACAAAAGTCAGAAGAAATATGGAATAATTTATACCAATTTTCTTTTTCTTTTTTTTTTTTGGTTTTTCGAGACAGGGTTTCTCTGTGGTTTTAGAGCCTGTCCTGGAACTAGCTCTTGTAGACCAGGCTGGTCTCGAACTCACAGAGATCCGCCTGCCTCTGCCTCCCGAGTGCTGGGATTAAAGGCACCAATTTTCTTTTTGTTTGTTTTACAAGACAGGGTTTTTCTGTGTAACAGCCTTGGCTGTCCAGAACTAGCTCTGTAGGCCAGACTGGACTCAAACTCACAGAGATCCGCCTGCCTCTGCCTCCCAAGTGCTGGGATTAAAGACATGCACCACTCCCACCCAGCTTATACTGATTTTCAACCGGCAAAGTCAAAAAGTTGTTCTTCCTAATACCAACTGCTTCTTAATATCCTACAACAGTCTTTAAAGTATTTTTTAAATTCCAAAAAAGCTAAATGGTGGGGGCAGTGTAGAAAGATGGCTCAGTGGCTAGAATCATTTCTTATTCTACAGTTCAGTTTTCAGCACCTACATCAGGTGGTTCACATCAGTCAGCTCCAAGGGATCTGACACTCTCTCCTGGCCTCTGGTACCTCAACTCACATGGTATATATTCACAGAATACACACATAAACTAAGGAAAAGGGTCACACAAGCATGGAATCAGATCAGTGTCTTGCTCAGCCATCCTCAGAGAGCTTCCTTCTACAGTAAATGGGAATAAAAACAGAGACCCACATGGGACAAGGTGTAGAGAGCAAAAGATCTTGCAACACCGAGTCCTAAAAGAGATGTCTCATCAAATTCCTCCCCTCAGAGTTCAAGGAACCCTGCCGAAAAATAGGAGGGAAACTTTTAAGAGCCAGAGAGGGTGGAGGACACCAAGAAAACAGCGCCTTTCAAATACAGCAGGACTAAAGCACACATGAACTCAGAGACTGTGGTGCATGCATAGGGCCTGCACAGGTCTGTGCCAGTTGGGGTCCCAGTGCTGAGAGGAAAAGTGGAAACAAGTCTTCATCCCTATCCAGAAGCTATCTCCAATTGATAACCACTCAGAAAGGAAAAGTCAGCTTTCTCCAACAGAGTCTCACTAGGTACACAAAACACTCTTAAGAACAGACCCATGCCCAGCAGTAGAAAATGCACACAAACTCAAAGGCATTTTTGGAGGTTCTCTGTCTCATAATGCTTTGTTTGGGCACTATTTTTCTTTTGTCCTTACAGGTCTTTTGGGTATGCATTACAGTTTTCCTGCTGTGTTTTTAAAGGATTTCTGAGTATGAACTTGTATGTCTCAGCATCTATATGTTTCGTGGACTTTTTCTTTGATTCTTTTTCTTCTGTTTCATCCTATTTCAGCTTGATATTATTTTACCTTATTTATTAATTTTTAGATGCTAGTTTGTACTCTAATGAGATAGGGCAAGAGTATGGATTTGAGTGGTGAGGAATTCAAGAGGATCCGGAAGGAGTTGGGAGAGGTAAAATCTTATAAAAAGAGTATATTGTATGAAAAAGGTCTATTTTTCAATAAGAAAATTAAAATTTCAAGCCAGGTGGTGATAGCACACACCTTTAATCCCAGCACTTGGGAGGCAGAGGCAGGCGGATCTCTGTGAGTTCAATGCCAGCCTGGTCTACAAGAGCTAGTTCCACAACAGGCTCCAAAGCTACGAGAAACCTTGTCTTGAAAAACCAAAAAGAGAAGAAAGAAGAAGAAGAAGAAGAAGAAAAATTTAAATTTAAAAAAAAAAACTAAGGAAAAGCAAAGGAAAGTAAAACAAATACAGCAATGTGGCAATAAGTAAAAAGAACAGAAGAAGAACACACCGAAATACGGAAGTGTTTACAACGATCAGCCAAAGATGTTCATGCCGTGCCTTCCATGCATGTGAATAGGGGCATACACACAAACACCCCCCCCACACACACACACACACAAACACATACCTAAGTAAATAGTTGCAATAAGTGAAGTGAAATGTAGGGAGAAAAAACAAGGCAGAAGAGACATGTACTCTTTTGAAAAAATCTACATAGAAGATGAAGAGGCAAAGAAATGGAAACAGATCTGAGATCACTGAAGAGGTAAAACCTAAAGCATGTGGCAATCAATATGGGGTAAAAGATGAAAAAAGGAATCAAAAGCAATTCTAAAATTTATAGTCAGAGAAAAATGAATGCTTTTCCCATTGACAATGGCTTGGCTCATCATGCACTGATTCTGATCTAACAGGCAGGTAAAAAAGAAAGAAAGAGAAATAGTAAATAAAGGAGAAGATTTAAAATCTAGAAAAATCTGTCTCCTAGAAGCCTTTCCACATGATGCACCTTATTGGCTCAGTTGAGAGTGTGCTTCCCTAGCATGTACAAAGCCCAAGCTCCAGCCCAAGCAGCATCCACATTTTCTTTGCTTTCCAAACACACAAAAATTACACTTTATATTTGGTTCAATTTAGGAGTTCTAAAATATTATATTGGGTTAACATATTATAAAAAGGGAAACTATAATTTATCCCCAGCAAACAGCATAGCTATTTTCTTTTAAATAACCCATAATTTCACTTAGAAATCTATAGAAAATCAAGTAAAAACTACACAAAGTCAGCAAGCTAGTGTGAAGGTACAGCTGAAACAAACCCTTGTGGGTAAAGAGGCCTAGCCTGAGATCTACAACTCCATGTCAAATACTGACCTCTCCATCACTATCAGATATCACTATGAATAAGTCCTCAAGTCTACGCTTCTTCTTTATACTGACGGGACTGGTGGTTTCTCGATCCTTCTTCTCTGAGTTATGGCTTTCAGAGGCTTCTTTAATTTTTTTCTTTCTTCGTGGCATCCTTTTGCCTGAAATGCAAGTTCAATAATTTACTCAAAGTATATTTCTAATCAAGAGGATATTTCTAATCAAGAGGCTATTCAATTTGGTCATGTAAAAGCAAATGACAGCCATTTAAGGGAAATGATTCTAGATTTTAGAACTTTTCACTATTCATTAAAATTTTTGTCATTTTTTTTCTGCAAAGAAATATATACTTGTATGCATATCCCTATCTATACAGGTGATGGACATATGTATACATCCATATAAACACATACAAATAAATCTAATCTCTCTAGTGAAATTTCAATAGCATAAAAACAATTTATCTTGGCTCCTTATACATTAATTTACACAACTGATTTCCTCAAGTATACATTAACAATTTACCCAAAAGATCTTTTTAAAAAAAAAAATAAGATTTATTTATTATATATACAGTATTCTGCCTACATATATCCTATAGGCCAGTAGAGGGCACCAGATCTCATTACAGATGGTTGTGAGCCATCATGTGGTTGCTGGGAATTGAACTCAGGACCTCTGGAAGAGCAGCCAGTGTTCTTAACCACTGAGCCACCTCTCCAGTCAGTGCTCTTAACCTCTGAGCCATCTCCCCAGCCCCCAAAAGATCTTTTAAAGCAAATACTAATACTCTTAATCAGGCGCAATTGCTCCCAGCACATCAGAAAGCAGAAGCAGGAAGATAACAAGGTAGAAGCTAACCCAGATAACAGAACTATGGTCTCCAAATTTAACAACAACAAAAACCTCAATACCTCAATCTGATAAAGGACTAACCCAAAAATTCCATAGCTAATGTTTATATATTTATATAATCATAGCGTGAAATCTAATTGGTCTTAAAAATAAGAATTTGGGGGGGCTGGAGAGATGGCTCAGTGGTTAAGAGCATTGCCTGCTCTTCCAAAGGTCATGAGTTCAATTCCCAGCAACCACATGGTGGCTCACAACCATCTGTAACGAGGTCTGCTGCCCTCTTCTGGTCTGCAGACATACACACAGACAGAATATTGTATACTGTATACATAATAAATAAATAAGTATTTAAAAAAAAATTAAGAATTTGGAGTCAGCTATCAGGGGGTGAAAGTTGAAGAATCAGCGAAGCAGAGCAGCCAGCCACTAGAGAGTTTTTGCCTCAGTCCCAAAGGGTGATCCTGTCCTCAGACGGACTGCTCCTCAGATTGCAATGAGCTCCTGTCATTTATTTCCCAGTCACATCCCTTCCAGTCTCCACCTCCTCAGCACTGGGATTAAAATTGTGACTCCCAAATACTGGGATTAAAGATTTGAGCCACACCTCTTGGCTCTGTTTCTCTTTTAGACTGGATCAATTTCATATAGCCCAGGGTAGCCTTAAACTAACAGAGATCTATAACAGAGCCTCTGTCTCCCAAGTGTTGGAATTAAAGGTGTGTGCTACCATTGCCTGGCCTCTGTGGCTAACTGCTGTGGCTAGTTTTGCACTCTGATCTTCAGGCAAGCTTTATTTGTTACATCATACACAAAATATCACCACGTGTAATAATTTAGATAGCAATGTATTTAAAGGGAAAATACTGAATTACTTCTCAAGACAAAGAACAAAGCAAACAAGTCTGCTTTGGCTCTGTCATGTGCCTATAATACCAGATTACTTGCATGCTGAAGCAGAAGGATTGTAAGGTAGAAACAACACTGAAAAAAATAGAGAGATCATGCCTCAAAAAAAAGAAAGAATGTTTGCTTTCATCACCAAAGATTATGGTGGAGGTTCTAGGTAGGTTAATTAAGGTGCCTCAAAGGGCAGAAGATGGCAGCCCTTCTCAGTGGAAGGTGTGTGTGTGTTCGTGTGTGTGTTCATATCCACGTGTACACACATACAGGTGAAATTAAAAGATTTCAAACACACCTTGAGCAATAATAGTTATCACTGACAGAATTATAGGCAGAGTTACAGACAGTTCTAAATCACCAGGTGGGGTGCAGGGAATTTAAACCAGTGTTCTCTGGAAGAGCAGTCAATGCTCTTATCCACTGACACATCTTTCCATCACCTGATTCTACTTTTTTAGAAGACTTAAGTTTCTTGCCTGCATGTATTATGTGTACCACTGTGTGTCTGGTGCCTGCAGAGGACAGAAGAGGGCTCCCAATCCTCTGGAACTGGAGTTTTATGCACAGGTGCTGAGAACCAAACCTAAGTCCTCTAGAAGAGCAGTAAGTTAAGTCATCTCCCTACACCAGTGGTTCTCAACCTCCCTAATGATGATACCATTAGGTTCCTCATGTTATAGTGGCCCCAACCAAAAAATTCTTTTTGTTGCGACTTCATAACTGTAACTTTGGTACTGCTGTAAATCACAATGTAAATAAATGCAAGATATCTGACATGTAACCCTTTTGAAAGGGTTGGTTGACCCCAAAGGGTTCAAGATCCACAGATTAAGAACCAATGTTCTACACACTAACTTCTAACAGCATAAAAAAATAATAAAACCCTAGCCAGTAGTGGTGGTGCACGCCTTTACCCCCGCCAGTACTTGGGAGGCAGAGACAGGGGTATCTCTGGGTTCAGCACCAAGCTGGTCAAGTCTGATCTACAGAGCGAGTTCCAGATCAGCCAGGGCTACAAAGAAAAACCCTGTCTTAAAAAAATCAAAATCAAAATAATAATATCCTTATGAATAAATTAAACAAAAAGCATATAAAATTTAGAACTAAAAATCTTACACTATTCCTTAAAAGGAGGTAGAAATAAAACTCAGTGGAAGGTGTGTGTGTGTTCAAACCCACATATGCCCACACACAGGCAAAAATGGAAGATTTCTGCCGGGAGGTGGTAACGCACGCCGAGCACTTGGGAAGCAGAGGCAGACGGATCTCTGTGAGTTCGAGGCCTGCCTGGTCTACAGAGTGAGTTCCAGGACAGACTCCAAAGAGACACAGAGAAACTCTGTCTCGAAAAATCAAATAAATAAATAAGATTCTAAACACACCTTGAGCAATAATAGTTATCACTGACAGAATCAATGGACAAACTTCTAGTTATCTCATACCCACTACAGGTTATTCCTCCCAAGAACTCTTGCTACATGGTAGGCATCACTCACTAACACGTTGGGAAACAGAAAAAAAAAAAAAAAGCAAATGGCTCTGCTGAGACGACACACGATGCATCTGATTCTAAAACTAGACTTTCTTTGACGTAACTACAGAGCACTGTCTCTCAAAACAAACACGAAAGCCCTACACGTCGAGCTCACTTCCTCCTCAGCGTTGCCCGTGTTTGATATAACGACTAAACCGTAGTTAGACAGGAGTCAAGTGACCGGATTCATGCCCAGTTCCACCCCTGCAGAGACCACACTCGGGTCTCGCACGGTTCTGCCTGTCATCGTCCACCGGGGAAACTCAGCCGCTCTACAAACGACGCAAAGTGGTGGATAGCACAGGTTTCAGTCTTTCTCGGCTGACTATAGCAGGAGGATCGCGAGTTAGAGGCCATCTTGGCACGCAGTGAGTTCAAAGCCAGGACCACCAGAGAGAGCCGGGAGGTGTCTTAGGCGAGGGACTAGGGAAACCAACTCCCACTCGACAACCAAAGTAGCGTGGGGGAGGCGGGAGCCTAGTCCCGTCCTCTAAGTCTGTTAGTCGGGCCGGAGACGACGAAGCCAGCTCGCTCCCGAGAGGCTGTGGGCGCGCAGGGCCCAGGAGGCCGCGGGCCGCCCTCGCGGGGAGGGAGCACCAGGGGCTCGGAAGCAAAGGCCCGTCCCGAGCCGCCAGCGCGGCCCCGCGTGGGCTCCCGCCCGGCCGACCAGCCTACGCGCGAAAAGCAGGCGCGACCCTGACGGCCGCAGGAGACGGAGGCGCTGCGTACTCACCGCGGCTCCCGCCGCTCCACTGAGCGGCTCCCGAACGCTGGGGGTCGCGAGCGGCCGCGACTCCTCAGAAAGTGGAGAGCGCGCGAGGGGGTGGGGGGAGCACGGGGGCGGGGCAGGGGCGAGGCGCGCAGGCGCAGGCTCGGGGCAGCGTGGGCCGAACTAACCACCCGGAAGCCACGCTCTCAAGAGTGCTTTGGCTAGAACTTGGCCGTGGTTTGAAGGAAACCTCTAGGGTCTCAAATACCTATAGTAAAATCTTCGAAATCAGCTCTGCTACATCAAGCCTCCTCTGGCACTTTATTTGTATGAATTCTGAGTTACATTGAAATTAAATATTTACGTAACTACTTAGAAACTCTCGGATAGTAAATTAATGTCTGATCGTCTCCGTAGAAAGCAGAACACCCTGAAACTCAGCTATGGCACGTCGCAATTAGAATGGAACACTTCTGATGATTTGATGTGATGCATTTTTTATAACAATGTCATTTGTAGCCGGGCGGTGGTGGCGCACGCCTTTAATCCCAGCACTCGGGAGGCAGAGGCAGGCAGATCACTGTGAGTTCGAGGCCAGCCTGGTCTACAAGAGCTAGTTCCAGGACAGGAACCAAAAGCTACGGAGAAACCCTGTCTCGAAAAATCAAAAAAAAAAATGTCATTTGTAGAAAAATAGAGATGTGGCTGGAAAGATGGCTTAGTGGTTAAGAGCATGTACTGCTCTTGTAGGGGTCCCAAGTTTGGTTACTAGAACCCACATAGGGTGGCTCACAACTGCCTGTAACTCCAGCTCTAGGCATCTAATGCCTTCTAACCTCTGCAAGTCTGGCATTCATACACATACATAGGTATAAAACCAAAGCTTTAAAATACTGAAACTTCTACAAGTGAGCATAAGTTCCAGATAGCCCATTTCTTCGAAAAAATAAATGCCAATAGCAGAAATATCTAATACAGCAAAGATGAATAAAACATGAAATATTCATACAATAAAATTCTACAATTAAAGCTCAACTGAATCCTATGTAACATTTTATAGCCCCTAACAAATCTTGCTGATGCCAGGCCTTTAATCCTGGAACTCAGAAGGCCTTGGCAGACAAGCCAGGCCAGCCAGGGCTACATTTCTCAAAAAAAAAAAA